CTTGCTACCTTCCTTACACCATTCTTTTCTTTCTCTCTCTTTCTTTCTTTCTTTCTTTCTCTCTTTCCTTCCTTCCTTCCTTCCCTCTTTCTTTCTCTCTTTCTCTTTCTCTCTTTCTTTCTTCCTTCCTTCCTTCCTTCCTTCCTTCCTTCCTTCCTTCCTTCCTTCCTTTCTTTCTTTCTTTCTTTCTTTCTTTCTTTCTTTCTTTCTTTCTTTCTTGTCAGGGTCTCACTTTGTCACCCAGGCTTGGAGTGCAGAAGCCCAATCACAGCTCACCACAGCCTTGACCTCCTGGGTTCAGGCAGTCCTCCCACCTCAGTTTCCCAAGTACCTGGGACTATAGACTTGCACCACCAAGCCTGGCTAATTTTTGGATTTTTTGTAGAGATGAGGTCTTGCTATGTTTCCTAGGTTGATCTTAAACTCTTGGGCTTAAGCAATCAATTCTCCTGCCTCAGGCTTCCAAAGTGCTGGGATTACAGGCATAAGACAGAGCCACTGTGTCTGACTGGGAAGCGTTCTTTTTCATTTTCTCTCTGTCTCATCTCGAAATGCCCAGACTGGACATTCTACCCTTCTTTCTTACAGAACCTCCGCACTCTCCACTTTCCCACACAGGGGTCCTTGTACCCCTGGCCATGCCAGAGAGCCACCCCATACCCTCTGACAAGTACATGTACTTACACCAGCAGGACATTCTATCCCCCTTGGGAACTGGGTGAAATCTCATTCTACCTCTACTGACCCAAGGAAAGTATCTGACACCCCTCAGAACCCTTTGGGCTGTCATACATTTGATCCCCCATGTGAGAGCACTAACCCTCCTTACTCTCCAAAGTATGCCCTGTCATCTCAGTGCCCCTTGAAGAAGATCCTCTTTTTCTGGGTTCTAGATGAAGTGTCCCTCATCCTTTCATTCTCTAGATGGGATCTCCTACATTGTAAAGGCTAGCACTCCTCGCTGCCTGAGCTCACCACTCAGTGTCCAGATGGGCTGGCTATCTTAAATACTTTTTTGGGGGTTTTTTTGAGTCGGAGTCTCACTCTGTCACCCTGGCTGGAGTGCAGTGGCATGATTGTAGCTCACTGTGGCCTCGACCTTCTGGGCTCTGAAGATCTTCCTGCCTCAGCCTCCCAAGTAGCTCAGACTCCAGGCACATACCACCACACCCGGCTAATTTTTAAGAGTTATTTTTTTGGTGAGACGAGGTCTCACTATGTTGCCCAGGCTGATCTCGAGCTTCTGGATTCAAACGATCCTCCTGCCTTGGCCTCCCAAAGTGCTGGTATGACAGACTTGAATCACCGTGCCTGGCCCTTAAACACTTGACTTCTGCAGATGGATATTTTTCACCCCTCAGGATCCCAACCAGGATGATCCCAAATGTCTGCAAAATAGAATGCCCCAGTAAAACAAATATGATGTGCTTACATAGTGCTTAGTTCTTCTCTAAGTAATGTTCACACATTAACTCCTTCATCACTGTAGTAACATCTCAGGCCCTTCTCTTCCCCTCGGGGTACCAGGGGGTGTCCCACACCACCTCTCTGGACTCAGAGATGTGTTTGTTGTCCCTCATGAGAAACTATGATCACCCTCATTCTACAGAAGTGGAAAATAAGGTGCAGGAAGTTTCAGTGATGCGGTCTGTGCCTCCAAGCTAGTTATGTGGGATTTGAACCCTGGTTGCCTTTGTTCCTGGCAATTACGTTAGATCACATCTCATGGGTCCATAGGACACCCCACAAGTTCTTGCTGCGCTGAGGGCATGTCCCACCCCAACTCACTGCATCATATGGGGTCCCTCACATCCCTTGCTGTCCCTCTGCGGGTCAGAAAGGACTTCAGTCTCCTTACCGGGCCATTCCCATCATCCCACAACCCCAACCCCTCAGAGGAACAACTGATGATTGTCACGATCTCAGAGAACTGTCCCACATGTCACACTGCCTATCAGAAGACATCCCATATCTGGCCAGGTACAGTGGCTCATGCCTGTCATCCCGGGACTTTGGGAGGCCAAGGCAGGAGGATCCCATGAGCCCAGGAGCTCAAGACCAGCCTGGGTAGCATGGTGAGACCTCGTCTCTACCAAAACCAAAAACAAGCAACAGCAACAACAACAACAAAAAACCGCCACAAAATTAGCTGAGCATGGTAGTGCATGCCTACAGTCCCAACTACTTGGGAGGCTGAGGTGGGAGGATCTCCTGAGCCCAGGAGGTTGAGGCTGTGGTGAGCCATAATCGAGTGGACCCTGACTCAAAAAGAAAGAAAAATTGCACATCTTCCTTGGCTCCTGGGAGAAGGGGGTGACAGACATCCTGTGCTTTTCCAGGTGGAATATATCATATTGGGAGGGTAAAGAGACAGGTCGTCCTAATTTATTGTGAGCCAAAATGGGATGCTGGATGCCCCAAACTACCTCAGAGGGATCTCACCGTCCCTTGTGGATGCAGACCACGTGTCCTGCACCTACTGCTCCAGAGCTCATCCTCACGCTTCCCTCGGTGATGATATCCATCCTTCACCTCTTTTTTTTTTTTTTTTGGATTGAGGTCTCACTCTATCGCCCAGGCTGCAGTGCAGTGGCACAAGCATGGTTTGCCACAGCCTCAACCTCCCGGGCTCAGGCGATCTTCCCAACTTGGCCTCCAGAGTAGCTGGGACTACAGGTGCATGCCACCACACCCAGTGCACCCTTTTCCTCTTGTTGCTACAGGATAAGAGTTTACACCTCCCTCTACTCCTGGCCTGATGTCTCATGCTCTTCTCTTCCCCTCAGGGTAGCAGGGGGTGTCCCATGCCACCTCTCTGGACTCAGAGATTTATTTGTTATCCCTCATCCCCTTGTTCAATTTGGAAAGTTCCTTTTTCACTTCCCCAGACTGGGCCCTCTTCTATTTCTTTTACCCCTGTTATTCTTTTTCTCTACCTCTCATCTTTCTTTTTGTGTCTCAGTCTTCCCATCTGTAGGACAAGAGAGCAGGTCGAGTTAGGTGAATTCTACAGGAAGTTCTGGTCTAAAATGCAGTTTAGAAAGTGCCTTTAAAAAAAAAATGTCAGGGTTTTTTTTTTTTTGATCGGGTGCAGTGATTCACACCTGTAATCCCACTACTTTGGGAGGCTGAGGCGGGAGGATCACTTGAGGTCAGGAGTTTGAGATCAGCCTGGGCAACATAGCAAGACCTCGAGTCCACAAAAAATAAAATAAAACAAATTAGCTGGGTGTGGTGGCATGCCCCTGTAATCCCCATTACTTGGGAGACTGAAGCAGAAGGATCATCTGGGTCCAGATTTGGAGGCTGTGGTGAGCTGTTTAGGGTTTCTTGAACCTTAATTACACAAAATTTCATGAATTATACTCCTCAATTAATGTCACAAAATCATTATCAGCCTTCACAAGATCCTTCTTGTGTTGTGTTTTGCATTATTTTTCTCATTGTTTCCTAACTCATGTCTTTTTTTTTTTTTTTT